CCCGCCCGGCCCTGCGTCTCCACGGGGGCTGGGCGAGGTGGTCGATGCTTGCTAACCGCCAGGGTCTGCGTTTCGCCCAGGCCTGCCGTGCGCCCCGGGGTTTGGTGCTGAGCACGCGGCGTGGCGGGGAGACCAGCTGTCCTCCCAGCTCTACAGGAACAAGCAGGTAACGGGCCGGGCCCCGCGCAACCTCGCCTTCCTCCCCGCCGTGTTCTCCGACCGCATTTCAGGCGTCGCTCCCTCTGGGTCGATCTCAGGCACGTTTCTGTCGATGGCTCAGATGTGGGAAACGGCAGTAACCTGCTTTGTTTGGATGCCCTTTGTCCCTTATTGGAGATATCTCAGTCCCTTGCGCTGTGTCATGAAGCTAGAACGACTGTTGTGGAGCTTCCTGTTCAGGTCTCCCCTCTGGCTACAGCATATTACGCCAGCTGCCTCTGTACTAGAGAAGACCAGGAGCATGAATGGGCCGTCTCTCAGGCTCTGATAGCAAAGTGCTATGCTGTTAACTAAAAGCATGTTGTGTATGTGTCCTCCTGAGTCCACCAGGATTACTTATGTGAGAAAAGTTACTCACATGGAGGATCAGCTGTTTGGGTCAATGATTGTTTCCTTTATTTTCTCTCTTATTTCCTTCTTTTTTCTTTTTTTTCGGTAAATCTTATCAAGCAGTAGGAGAATCACTGAACAATCCTAGATGAAGGAACCCCCAAGAGATCATCCTGACCAAACATTTGGAGTAATGTTTTGACACAAGTCAAAAGAAACTAACTTCGAGTTCCCTGGGACTGGACCCTAGTTCCAGATGTCACTGTGCTTCTTTCTTTGACTCTGTTTCAACTGTTTAGCTCAGAGGTTTTGCAGTGGTCAGTGGATGCCTGGGATCTTTGGCAGAAGGTCCTTTGTCCTCCCAAAGGAGTCTCCAGAGCTGTGATCAGGAGGCAAAAGCCTCTATGCAAATACATTGGTATTTGAGACTTCCCATAAAAAACTGTTAGCGATCTGCAAACCAAAAACCACTGGTTCAGCTCTTGGGACCACAGCTTATCTCCACTCTGCAGTCCAGGTTTGAAAGGATCCCTGAGTGCCTCTGGAATGTAAAGAATGACAGTAGGATCTTCCTTCTGCACCCTAACCACATAAATTGTTAGCCTGCACCTCTTTCCTTCTCTTTTTGCCCACCAGCCAACTATACACTGGAGAGAGGGATGCAAAGGGAAGCTTACTGCCACCCAGAATGAGATCTGGCAGCTGCTGTCACGCCTATGACAGTTTCTGGCTGTTTATGGGGCTACCTGTAATTGTGTTCTGTTATTATTCTGCGGTTACAGTGTTTTCAGAGTAACCTTCTCAAACACTTGCTAAAGAATAAAGGAAGTCAAAAGTGAAAACTGAACAGTCATGCCAGTTAGATTTACAGTGACAAGAGGCTTGAGGGGGTGGGTTGAATTCACAAAGCAAACACCCAGATCATCAAATCCAAGCAGGCTGTACCATGGGGCAATTGCTATTAAGTTACAGAGTCAACATCTATTCATCATTATCTTTATTCCACAGCTTCAAGATACTTTGCTTCAGAAGGAAGAGGAACTTGCTAGGTTACATGAAGAAAATAATAACCTTCGCCAGTACCTGAATTCTGCCTTGATTAAGTGTTTAGAAGAAAAAGCCAAGGTATTTTGTTCAAGCCTGTTGTATAGACATATGCACAAGAAAACAGTTGAATAGATATGTGCTATTAAAATATGTGGAAAGCCAAGACTGTAGAAACCTGCAGTATGAGAGATATTTTAACTTCATAGAGCTACCAAATTGCCAGTCATGTTTTAGTGTAATGATTTCCCTTTGGAATGACATCCTATTGGGTTTTAACTGCGGAGATAGTATAGCCCAGGTACCATTACACATGGCTAAATTTGTTTTAGAAGTAGAGCAAGGTAAAATTATTTGGACCAAAATTTTTTTTTCAATGAAAAGATCAAATTTGGACATACCAAAATGTTTCTTGAATTTGTCTATTTTGTCAGTTATCCCTTTTGATAATATTTTTTTTTCCTTTTTTATGTTACAGGTGTTTTCTTTTTTATATATTTTGTTGTAACATCTTCCAAGGGTATATTTTTATTAATTTGTATTAGAACATTGACCTTTACAATTTTTTTATTAATTGAAAAGTATTATATATTATTTTAAAAGGTGGAATCTGAAATGAAACACTTCAGGTTGGATGAAACTAACTAAATATAAACGAATTATGAATATAGTTATTTTTAAAAAATCGATATCTTGATACTCTCTCTCTCTTGTCAACTTAAACGTTTTTTACTTCTCCAGACTTGCCAATGAAAACAAACTATTAATTATCTGCTTACCTCTAGGCATCGGGCGTGAAGTAAAAATACTTACAAAAAACTATGGACTTCTCTTTTCCATCCTATTCCCTGTTGACAATTTGGCACATGCCCTCCCATGCCAAGATCTGACTCCTGGCAGTAGAAGAGGGTCTCCATTAGGCAGAACGGGGAGATGTGACCACCCCTCCATGTGATGTGGAGGAGGGTCCAGTATGGAACACGTCATGGGAAGTGGCTAAGCACTGAATTCATGACATGGTGGGGAGTGTCCTTGTTACTCTTGCCTTTTGTTGCACATCTCTGGATGCTTGAATGGTCTTGGTCCTGGGCTAAGGGCAACTGAGGTGGATTCATGAACTCAAAGCCCCACAGGCTGCAGCTCAAAGCATGCTCTGGCTGGAAACTCACCTGCCCTGGCACGACTCACCTTCATATCCTCCCTCTTTGTCAGACTGCCACGTTCCCCCTCAACCCCCCTCACCTGCCAAATGCTGCTGGCAGTATCAGCACAGAGGAGTGCTGTACAGCAAGGCAGGAGTTCTCATTTCACGCCTTACTGAGTGAGAATGCAATCAAAGCAAAGGTCTTATTGACGCTGTCAAATTCTTCTCTCTCAGGGACTGAGTTGTTGCAGAGGCTGTAAAAACATAAACTGATTAGTGATACCTCTATGCTTAAGGAGCAAAAAAGTGCACAGGGTGGAAGCAAAGAATCTTATAAAGACAGTGCTAACTGTCTTGCCCATCTAAAATCTGAGACCGTACACATATTGCTTCCTGGTATCCAGAGAATCAGCTTTTAATCTACTTGCTCTGCTTCATTTTCCTGTATAGAAACTGCTGTCCTGCCATGGCCAGAAAAACTGTGCTGTTCTCAAAAACACCAAAAGGAGATTGAAAGAAGACCACTGCTTTGCTCCTCAGGAAAATCCTCATGCCTCCAAAGCTAGAAGGAATCTCTTTAATGAATTCACTGCCTGTGAAGAGCAAGCCAATCCTGCTGTGGACAGCTGGGTCTTGCAGACTTTAGGATTGAAAGACATCAACACTATTGATGAATCCTTATCAGCTAACTACAGTGCCCTGTCAGACCTTGGAAAAGACAGATACTGCCTGAGCCGCGGTGAAGCAATAGACTATGACCACAGTGAGGGTGCGGCAGCAACGTATAGCTGTGGCCAGATGCCTCCAGCTAACAGCAGTGCCCATCAGTGCAGTGAGGACTCTCCCTTCATTCCTCAGCTCTCTTCAGCACCATGTGTCTCCTCGCCAATGCCAAGTCTTTCTTCCCTCCCACCTTATGGGTTGCCTTACCTGACTAGTGACTTGTCACCTAACAAAACAGAAGTGGCCTTCACAACATCTCTGAGTCCTCACCGCAATGTGAAAACACACAGTTTCCACCAAGGACAAGCCTTTGTGCGCAGAGATGATGATGGAGGATGGAGATTCACTTGGGTGCCCAAGCAGGGTGAATAAGACACCTGCCTCAAGGGCCAGCAGTAGGGAAAACAGAAGACAGACACTTCATCTTGTGCCTAAGACCACCTCAGGCAACAGAAAAGATGTCCCTTCTGGGCTCTGTTAAATGCTACTCTCTTGCCTACCTGCTCCTGTCTCCCTCCCAGATTTTCACAGGAGCAGCTCCAGATTGCACTTGGACATATATCTATTCCAGGCCAGTTGTACAAATTGGATCTATTTCCCCTGTGCCTATGATGAGAGACCTACTTTTATTGCTTCATGGTTTTTCTGTCATCAGCTATTCCTTGCCAACTGGTAGCTTCCAAACTGGACTCCTTTCAGCACCAACAGTCACTTCTACATAAACCAAATGGGAAGGGATTTGGGGAATACAGTTTGGAAATATCACCTCTATCACAGATGTCCACGGGTGACAAAGAAGGCATAGGTCAGTGGCTGAGGATCAGCAGTGCCTAAGTGATTTGGATCTCTCTTGGCTACATAGATTGCCTTGGGTTAAGGCAACTATGGTATTTGTTAATGAGCTACCCCAGCCTGACAGGCAGTCAGGCAGACCTATCATTTTTTGACAATGTCTCAAAATAAACAGGATTTGCTTCTGTTGCCTGGAGGCCGCTTAGTTAGAAGTGATTCAGCAAATTTAGATGATTTTCTTCTGCTGTGATTAAAAGACTAATGTATTTACTGCATTATGTTTTAAAGGTATTTCGTCTGTCAGGTAAATAGAGTTTTAAAAGTTTGAGCCCTGTTTCTCCCCTAGTCTAACTACAGAACAGGAACTAGGCCTGGAGATGCTGTAAAGTGGAATAATGACATTGCCATAATCAGCTAAGGCCCTGGCCCAATGTGTTAGTGACAGGAGTTTTCTCATGCATGGAAAACATACACTGAGTACACTTTTCTCTTCTGCAAAGGATTCATTCCCTTCACTTGCAGCATACCATCAGCCGCTCAATGGATTTTCTTCCATGTTTACCCGCCTGATGTTGGAAGCCCTTATAAAAGGGAACCACTCTTGGCTACACAAGCAGTTTCTGTGGCTTCAGTGGGGCTTTTTGCAACATCAAGAGCAGCACATGTGAAATTGGAGATTTTCTTTCCAATTTCTTGACCTCTTTGTCCTGATCTCTGGGATCATACAGAAATTCATCGGCCCATCAGCCCTGACTTGTGCTCCAGGTGTTCCTGTTAATAGAAACAGGTTAGAGCTGCTTCCCATTTTCCTCCCTCCATGCTTTCTATGGGAAATGTTTCTTATGTTTCTTCTGGTTTGAGGAGGCAGTATCACTTAGTGCTTAGTGTGGTTCATTGGGAACCACAGCCTTCAACATCAGCTCTTGCCTGGCCGTGTCCCTGTGAAGCAATGGTGTCCTGCAGCTAAGACCATCACTGTCTCAAGAATGCTTTGAAATCTCTGGAGAGAAGGTGCTCTAGCACTATGCAGGACTGTTAGTAACACTGCTAATAATATGAAGTCAACTGACATGAAGTAAGCTCACCAGTAATGTTTTATGTTACCTTTGTTTTCTACTTTGCAGTAGTTTGATGCCGAAGTCATAGAAACAAAGGGAGTTATGTGGTTATTCTTTCTTTCAGAATGGTCCCAGTGACATTAGGGAGCCACTCACATGAGTAAAAATAAACATATATGAGGTTTCCTTCCAGCTGTTTATTTTTCTATAGAAAACTAGCTATTCTTTTATTTTTAGAGGATAAAAAATATCTTCCAAATAGCCTCTTGTGCCTTAGAATTGCAGTATTTGGAATTGTCCATCAAGAGCCATAGTCATTTCTTAAAAGACTTTTAAATAAACAAACAGCTCCACATATCTGGGTAGTAACTTTAAAATGATAGGATAGACTTTCAGAATAGGCATTTTGAAAGCATTTTTTGTAGGCATTACAGTTTGGATTAAAAAAAAAAAAAAGAACATGGAATAAGGACAACAGTTTGTTGGGGGGATTGTTTTAGCCAGTAAAAATGTGGCCACCTGAGGAAAACTGGTCAGACAAGACCAATGTATCTATAGCACTTTTCTTCTTTTAAATGAGAGCCAGGAAAGAAAAAAACCGATATCCTACAAACAACTCATTTCTTTTTCAAGGCATTTCTTTTCTGTTAACATTCTCTTGACCTACCCTAAAGGGCAGATTGAAAAAAATACTCTTGTTACTGAAGTTCTTTTTGTAGCGTATGGTAGAACAGAGTGTAGAAAATGCCCGCCCTTAACATAAGTATGTGATAGGAGACCCTGGTGTGTGCGATGACGTGGGATGAACAGTATTCAGAAAATAAATAGACAACATGACTAGAGGATTACATCTGCTGCAGTTTTATATGCTACATCTTTAAAGCAGCTGTAAAACATAAGCAGAGAAAGATGTCTGCATATTCCAGTGCTATTGCTTATGTATTTTGATATTATGGAGTTAGCTGCAGTTACAAATGTATTTTTAGTCCTGTCAACAAATATTAAATCGTGTTTTGATTTTTTTTTTTTTTTTTACAAAGAGAGAGAAAATTATTCTCCCTCTTTGACACTTCCTTTCCACATTTTTAGATCACTGCATGTGAGAACATCTCCTTCTGTGGAGAGCTGGTGAAGCAGATGTATCTTTGATACAACCTCAAAGCAGGGTATCAGGGTACCTGATAGGTGCTTGAACCTTTGCCAGCCTTTTGGAGAGGGATGCCTGGCCCTCTTGTCTCTTAGCAAATAAATTATAGTTGTAAGTGGACTATTTGATGAATAATTCACCTAGACGTAATCTCTTCTTCTTGTGGGTTCCTAACTTTTACTCAACATGGAAGTTTTGAATTCTGAGGCAGGAATTTCTGTCCAAGAGTGACATACTGGAGCTCATTTGGGCAGAGATTCCCATGGTACTGCTCCTGTTAGCTGACCCCCTGCCCCCAGCACATGCAGACCTAAAATTCTGATTTAGACTGCTTGAGCAAAGGACTCTGCAATCTGCTCTGTGTGAACAATGCTGCTGATTGCTGTAATGGAAGGAGCGTGCTGGAGAGGAAACCAAAAAAGTTTCTAAAGCTTTTTAGCAAACATTTAGAGGAGATTTTTTTTTCCTCACAGTAATCTTTCTAATAAAAAGAAAATGGACTGTGTTTCCATAGGAAAGTCAGCAAAATTTGAACAAATGTTTCCTGAGTTATCATGAACAACCGTACAAACAAGCCACCTTTTCTCTAACACCAATCCACCTCAAGGACTAGAACATCTGCTTTTCTGCTTCTCTGTAAAATAGTAACACTCCCACTGAATTCAGTGGTACACTTCTTACTGAAGAGAAGTCTCAATGACCAAACTATTCCTTTGGTTAAATGTTGCTCCTACTCCCACAAAAAAGCCAAAATATCACAGTTCCTTTGTCTGCAGAGACAAGAGAGAGTAGGTCTGCCAGTACAGAGCCTAAAGGGGGCTTTGAGATAGATGTTCAGTCCTGACTTAAGTCTGATGCCGCTTATGTATCCTTTTAGTCTCCATTCCTAGGGCTGAAACAGAGCTAGACCCACACTGCTACTCATGGAGAGTGTGATGTAATGCCACAGAGACAGCTAGAGATCAATAGGAATGAATGCAAAAAGTGGAAATATAAACCAGTGCTTTGCACAGCTATCACAACAACTAGGCGGTCAAGAGATAACAGAGATGAGGGAGGGCTGCAGCTTTATGCTAACGGCCCTGCCCTTGTAACTTCAAAAGTCAGTCGCGTAGCTGAAATAGAGGAGCAGGGGACAGTTCCGGATTCTGACGTTGCCTCTGGTAATTCACTTAATCTCTGTACTTTGGCTTCTACCGGTTCTGACCTTGGACCAGTTCATAGCAAGCTGAACATAAAACATGATTTTTGCTGCTGCAAACTATATGGGAAGTTCCCTCTTGCCAAGGAGGAACATTAGGCCCATATACCTCGGCAATAGGGAAGTATGGCTTGAATGGCCCAGAGGCACTAGGAGGTCCTTTGGGCAGTGGTGAAATTCATTGTCTGTAAATATCCATCTTTTAATAACATATTTGGTTTATTTTTATGTGAAATTTGTTTGCTTTGTTATGTGAATAAAACACGTGCCCCTGCCTATTTTAAAATAATCCATGTCTTTAGAAATATGAGCTAATAGAAATGGAAGCTAATTTAACACTTAATATGTTGATGTTTATGATTTCTCTGTGTGATTGAAAAGGTTATAATTATACGTAAGAGTCAATATTACTATTTTCATTAAGTTATGTCTAATAAAACTTGAAATAACATCTAATTGCAATAAATATCTCTTCTTACAGCTACCCACTTAAATATCTAGTAAACAATGAAGCTATTGCTCATGCTGCACAGCACAATACCTAGCACCTAAACATCTCTCTAGAGGATGGAAATTTCCTACAAGTACAAGTGTCCACTCAAGCAGAGATGTCCTAGCTGCACTATTGCTGGCCCAGGTGTGAAATCGAGGACAGCTGATTCCCAGCTGTTTTGCAGCATGCCCAGCTGCTCCAGAGGATGCCCAACAGAGCTGCTACATCCCCAGCTGCTGATGCCCTGGTGGGCCAACATCAGCCCAACTGTACCAGTCTGGATGCAGCTGTCCAGATGAGGCCAAAGCTGTGCCAGTACATCCGCAGATGTACAGAAAAGGCCCTAGATGTGTTGTTGCATAGACAGATGATCTGGGCATGCCCAATAGTGCAGCAGAGGCCCCAGCCGTGCCACTGCCTGCTCACTGTCCTTCAGAGGCCCCAGCTGTGCCTAAACACCTGTGCTGCACTTGTACTAGCCATGCCTTTTCCTGTGCAGCTGTGCAGTCCAGACACTGTCACAGCCAGTGCAGACAGACCTCAGCTGTGCCATTGCCTGTCCAGTTTTTTCACAGCGGCCTCAGCTGTGCCAGTGCATGCCCAACTATACATCGAGGCACCAGCTGTTCCGTCTCTGACCGGCTGGGCAGCAACGCGGTCTAGCTGTGCAGGAATCCCCCAGCTCTTCCATACCCGCCCAGGCCAGACCAGTTACCAGTGTCTCCCGGTGTTGGTAGAACCAGCTCACCCATGACAGTCGCTAGTTAAAAATATGAACTTTCTTTCATCTCTTGAGGTAATCTATGCCTGGTGTTTTGACTGTGACTAAGGAAGCAAGGGGAGAGACCCTCCTCACAGAGCAGCATCTTTGGTAAACATAATTGACACAGTTTACAGGGACACACAGTGCTGGACTAAGGAAGCAAGGGGAGAGACCCTCCACACAGGACAGCATCTTTGGTAAACATAATTGACACAGCTTACAGGTACACACAGTGCTGGGCTCCCCTGTGCAGGCTCTGAGCTAGCTGGATAACGTCCAGGCACGTTCCAGAGACTGCATGTCCAAGTATCCTACTACATACCACTGCAGGTAGAGAAAATGTCTTTTGGAAAGCTCCCCTTATCGGTGTTACAGACTGCACTTTATCCCAGATAGGGAAGAATCAAGAGATATACTCTACTTGCCCCCAGCTAGGACAGTCAAACCGAAAAATCCCTTTGATCTTTGAGAAGCATCATCCCTTCTAATCTCTGAAGCATTTGCATGTTTTATTTCACATATGGTATCAAGCTTAATAACTGAAGTTGAACTGAACTGCAGCAAGATAAATGTTACTAGGGATTTACAATCAATCATCGGTACTTTATTTTGTATGTTATAGGATTAGCTAGACTCTCCAGACAGGAATACGGGCTCCAGTATATTGGAAACTGTATTCAGCGTCATTGTTGTTGTCTGAATTCTGATCTCAGTTCCATTGATTAGGATGCCAGACAGAAGAAAAGCTTTTAGAAAGCAGAGAGACTAAGTTACACAGTTGTAAATGGGACCCAAAAAATCAAATGTTTCACTGCACTTTTTCTAACATCCACTCTAGATTTACATGATAATCAGCTGCTAAGACAAGTTTCAGTAATCAAGGGAAAGAACATAAGAAATGCCTTTCCACTGCCTATCCTTTGCCTTCTAGTCCCCTACTTGAATCTTAGCAATGCAAAACTATGTGACAACTTAAAAAACAGTGGTAAAAAAAAGGCTGGAAAAGGAAAATTTCTGTAAATAGAAAGTTTCCATGCAGTTCTGTTTAGTTTTAAGCAAGGATAACGTTTCTGTGCTCAGAGAGCCATACAGTTCCAGGACACAAGTATCTTCATTGTCCCACAAATGTGCACTGCTGGCTAGCCAAAGACAAAATCCTAACCTGACAGACAATAGCATAGCCCAGATCAGCTCTACTTGCAAGTTCTGAATATTACTGTGAATGAGGTAGAATTTGATCCAACAGTTTGACTCATTTATAACTATTGCATCTGCTTTGAGTTTCCTCACTTGGACCTAGAATTAAACAGAACAAGTGGGAATTAAATGATTCCTTCTTGCTTCAGGAAACAGATAATTTTGATTCCCTATGGGTCATTAAATACTTGATGGTACCCTTTTGCAAGTAAAAGGAGAAGTCTTGATTTAATAGTAGTAGGTATTGTTTAAATCTACCAGCTTCAGTTTCCTTCCAAGGCACATTAATCTGTTTTTCTGTCTGTGGGTTTGTTTTTTTCTTTTTTTCCTTCTTATCTGAAATAGTCAACAACACTGCTGCGCAAAAGCTATTGCATTCCTCCACAACATTTCAGAAATATACTATTGCTGAAATGAATTAAGTGGTTCATTCTTGCAATCTGTAAAAATTGCAAAAACCCGCTGAAATCAGCATGAGCCAGTACTACCCCTGAGAACAAAATGTAGCTGAAAGAGTTTTAAGTTTCTTCTTACTGAAAGACCCTTTATCAGTATGAAATATCATTGCCTCAATGGCCCTGTGGCTATTTCAGAGGTGTATAAACATTTGCTGCCTATCTGTTAGCCATTCAATTACTAAGATCTTGATGCTGTGTAAATATTTAACTACAATAGAGGATAAATCAGAGAAAGTGATTCTGTTTCATTCCACTGGTGGCAGTAAATCACAGTCTATTCAAACTACTGGGCTACACCCTGGCTGAGCTGTGAACAGTGGTGGATATTATCTAAAATTCTTTATAAAGTTAGTCCTAATCTAATTCAGACTTCACAGAGGGAAGACTATCAGCACACCACAAATCCAGAAACCAAGGGCACTTCCAGACATTTTTGCTAGGCTGATAAGAAAGGAAAAATCTACCAGTACTCATTTTGAAGTAGGTCTCCAAAGAACGTGCCCAGAACACACAAAGAAGCACTGAGAGCAGGTAAAATTGAGTTTGAGCCTCTGG